CGGAAGTTGAAAGACGAAAGTAAGACGATGATGCTCATGTTTATGTCTGCTTAAAAAGACGCTTAAATATGTCCAAATATGGGTGAACTCTCAACCTGTTTACAGTAACGCACTGCAGATGCTGATAAACAATAATTAGTTGACTTTTGGTGAGCAATCTGTTATTGCCACAACTGTCGTCTTTGGTTAGAAAGCTTTTGGCACAAGGACAGCTCACATTTGCTGTGCTTGATCGTTTCCAAATGGGATATCGACTTTATAAGTGGCAGAGAATTGCGTGACGGATGTGTACTTGTCTTCTAAATGCCACTAAACTGACTATAAGTTGAAACAATAGTGGTAGAACAGTATCTTCTTTACATTAATATAGGTAAGATTTATATTTTGTCTGGATTCGACTTAGGCATTACGATCATTTAAACTAGTCAGTCCGTTTCGATGAGTGCTTATTCTTCCGGTTCGCCGAGGAAGACGTGCCAGACACTGTTTTCAGCGTTCCCAATTATGTACCAGCATCTGAGCATCGGCATGGTCTGAATCAGAGTCAGTCAAGACACTGAGGCCAGGTCATTTTTCACTTTCCATGGATCTTCGGTCGACTTGCTGAGCAAATGGTAATTGTTCCGTCTTTCTCTCTGTAAGCATTCGCAAAATGTGTCCAAATGTCAATGCTTAACATGGTTACTTGCACGATTCAGGGTTCGGAGCACCAAATGCACTTGGTGGTTAACCAGTTGAAAAATTGGAATTGTTCGCTTGTTGGACATAGATGTCTTCAAGCTGTCAGTTGTACTGAGTCCAGCCCTGGTGATGCTGCGGTCTGTGCAGTGGAACGCGTTGGCATTAAACTGTTTACCATCTGCTGCATATGGTGCCCTGAATCATGAATCATTCAAACAACCATGTATATAACTATGGACCCAGAATCAGAATCCCCAAGAATTATTTACTTGAATCCGTAGACACGAGAATAAATTCGTGTGTAATTCTCTGTTGAACGAATCGATGACTGAGTGTCTTTTGAAGGACAAATGGAGTTCAGTTGGAGTCTTCGACCTTGAGTTCCTATTCATTGTCAGAGCACCATTCTTCTAAACAAATTCGTAAGAGGGCATTAGCAGATTTATTATTTCGATTGGTATATTTCCATTTATCAATTATCTCTGGCTGATACAAATATCGGTATTTTTTACAAGGAAACGTACCAATCACATTTGACATGCAATCGCATAATTTGATCAATGTCTGTCTTCTGCAACGTGATCATGAATCAGACTCATTGAAAGTCCTGAAACTCTTATGGTAGCAAAGCGTCACCGGCAAACCTTAGACTCTATCATTGACGGAATCTTTAATCGATATATGATGATTAATTTTGATACTCAATCGGCTTGTCTCCAAAACGGATTTGTCTAGCCGAAAGCAGCTTGGATTACCCGCGGATGATCAACGACTGCATGCGCAGAAGTACACTTCATCACTCGAGAATCTTACAGCACAGCCTCTGAACAAAGGCAATGCTGCATAAGGCTGTTTTATCGCACAACATCCGACAAAACAAAACAACAGGCATCCTGGCGAATTAATTTCAACAATGATACAAGCTTTATTCCCGTCCGTACGATTTGTTGGCGACGATTGTCCAATGAGGTCATGCTTGGGAGATCGTTTTTACCTCGTCATTTGAAATACCTGCATGTTGCAATCAACGAAGAATGCCGTAATTATAACTGAAGTCGAACAAATGCACTGACTCCACAAGTTTTCAAAGGTCTACAAGAAATATCCAGGGGGACACGGATTGGCTACCATCTTCATTACGTGACGCGTCGGGGATATCGCTGAGGCATGTGAAATTCTGCAAAATGTTAGAGCGCGAAAAGTACCTTGTGAAGCATCAGGTAGCTAGCTAGCATATCATTTACTGCAGACTCATTGCACTGGAAACGATGATCTCAGAAAGCGACTTCCGGTTGTCGGT